TCGAGGGTGGCAAAGATACTATGTGGAGCAAGCGAATGGGTTGTTATTCTAAGGAGAGCTGGACAAAGCGTGACGAAGAGGGTGAAGTAGAGTTGAAGACGAATTCACAAAAATTTGAAAAATTTAAGCTAGCCCAATTTTGTTGGCCAGGGTCATTACGCATGTTGAATAGGCCACATACTTGTGCATGTGTTCAACACTAACCATACACCCTGTATAGTTGTATACCCCCTTCATTTCTGGCGCATCAGAACTGATGCACTTATCAGGTTAGAGATGTTTGAAGCCCATTGCTTATAAAAATATATGTCACTTTGCATTTCCTCGTATTTACGTAAGTCAACACCTCGCTGAAGGTGAGCAACATGCGGTGAGGTGTGTCAGTTGACTTAAGCCTTTTTCAGTAAGTGTGTGTACATGGACGGGCAGTTCCCATCACAACATTACACTATTCTCTTTCGCCCCCTAGGCGAATTTCAGAAGGGCCGAAGTTAACTTTCATGGGAAAGTATATTAGCTAAGCTTGACCAGCAACGAGCTCTCCAAGCTCGCGTTTTGGTACCTCAAGCAAACCCAATGAAATGGTACCGCGCTCGACTTTGAGATCAAAAAGGAAGCGCTCCTGTACCCGAAATACGGATTGTTCCTGTGGGGCTCACCCCTGCGAACGACTGCAGATGATAAGGAGCTCTTTGAGAGATGGGCGCAGCAACACCGGAAACTTTCCCCGCTGTCTGCCTTACAGCAAAGCCACAAGGAAGTCGACGCGGCGTTGAGCGCCAACCTCGACTTGAAGTTGTCAAATTCAAGGCGCAACGCCGACTTTCTTCGGATTGTAACCCTGCGACACATGGGGTTATACATCACGCTTCCGCGAGCTCTGTGGTTTCTCACACGCGTGAGTCTACAGCCAAAGCAGCTCAGAGCCATAGCTTGGGCTTAGCTCAAGGCCCTCCAGCTACCCGGACTACCGCCGAGAAGCGCGGGACGCACGACGACGCAAAGCGTCTTGATCTCTCTGATCATAAGCATCCACGACGTCTGGGTAGTCTTGCCAATGTGGCACCTCAAAATCCCACAAAATCTCGGAGTCTGGGCATTCTTGCTACTTCACAAGATGTTGGGCTCGACCCTCTCGACGACGTCAACCCACAAGGCTTTTCACGAGAAAGTGGACGCCACCATTCTCATCGAGACGAGTCGGCGGCGGACGATGACGATTTGGTCGATCAACGTCCGGTAAAAAGCGATGCTCTTCGAGCTCTTAAGGACAAGGTCCGTCGCGATCGGGACTCCGCTGAGCAAATTGCCGAGGTCACATACCGCTGTGCGTAAGACCTCGAGAGCTTAGAGCACTTTGTGCACCGACTACCTCACATTGAGGACTATCGCGCTCTGTTGGAGAGGCTTCAGCCGTCAAGCAAGATGAATGCGTCGCTTTGCGCGACGGTGGAAAGCTTGGCGTCAATTGGAGATAGAGATCGTTGCACTCCGTGCTCAAAGCAGTTACTGGTTCAGCTTCTGGTTCAGCTTCTGGGTGGCCGAGCGCCTGTGGGCGCCGCCCCGTCGCCAACGCTTCCGGGTTTACTTGCGCCGGATCCCTTAAGCAAGCACACATAGAACCCCGGGTGGGTGCGCATCCGTTTCGCGTATACACAAGGCCGCTTTACCACGACCTTAAAAGATCCAGTAAATCGTGCACAAAGCTTTGTCTTAAAGATAGCAGCGACTGCATGTGTAAGAAAGTTTTTAGCATTTGATAAAACTAGGTCTTCGACCTCCAAGCTCTCCACCTTTTTTCTGATTCTTCCATCTGCATATTGTTGCTGTATGTCTTGCCTTTCAGTCATCGCTTCGCGAACGTGTCATAGGATACTCAGTCTGGAAGGCAGCAAGTCATCGACTTCGCAACGGATAGTGAGGAGGCTGACATCAGCTAGCCGCTGAGCTATTCGCCCCACCAAGCCCTGAGCCATAAGATAGCGGCATCAGCGAGACGCGAGGATGAACGAGCCCGTTCACGTAGAATGGCGTGTAGCCGGAAGACGCATGTACAGCATTGTTCAGATCAAACTTTACGAGTGGCAGCATGGCACTCCAGCACCTCGAAGTCTCGACGCAGACGCTGCGAAGAACGTCTTCAAAGACGCGATTCACGCGCTCAGTTTGACCATCGTTCTTCGAATGGTCTGCTGTTGACATAGTCAACTTGGTGCCCAGCACCCCGAAGATTGTAGACCAAACCTTCCCAGTGAAGCATGGGTCTCTATCATCTATCAGTGACAATTGAGTTTGGGAGTCTATGTTGTCGAAAGCCACGATCCACAAACAGCGTCTATGTTCCGGCATCGTCGATGGTACCCAGCACAAGATGAGCCATCTCGCTCAAACGGTCTACAAAGGCCATCGCACCCGTGTTGCCCGATGAGTCCTTTGGCTGGCCAAACACAAACTTCATGCTCATGGACTGCCAACACCAAGACAGTACCAGTAAACTGGCCATGGGCACGTCTCACACATGTGCACAAATCTGCTCGCCCACTGACGACGTCATCGCCGTGAAATGAGCAAGCTCAAAATTTGGTCTGCATGATCAAGCATCAGCCAAAGCATTTTGCTTATCTGGCTTACATTTCACCTCGAAGTTATATTCTGCGAAGAAGATGAGCTACCTGGCCATCCTCTGCGAGAGGTGAGGCGACTGAGTCGCTGAAACGCGGGTGTGGAATTAGTGTCAAATTGGAAAAGTGATCGTGTTTCTGTTTATCTTTCTGCTGATTATGTACTTGTAAACTATCTACATATACATCTTACGCATACTTATTGGAGCATCTGTTCTTGATGTTCCATCCGGTTGTATAGAAAGCAGATTGAAAATTTACGGCTTCTTCCATATTAATTTAACTCATTCTGGAATCTTCTTAAACCTTCTACAGTTTAAACTGGTAATCGCAAAGTCTTTAACCGTTATCTGAAGTAATTCAGAACACGATGTACCATCAAGACATTAAGACACCACTCATTCCAGTCGCAGTGCGTAATGTTGCATGATGTTTGAAGATCACAAACGACTTTGAGTCAAGCAGGTGCACCCTGAACCTGACAACTGCAGATTTCATCGTAAGTAATTCCTTGTCGTAGATTAGGTAGTCCTTCTCCGCAGCCTCAGCTGCCGAGATTCGAACGCGATCACCCGATCTCGCTCCTCGCCATCTGCTTGCAGCTGTGTACAGCTGATGGCAAAGTCCGGAGCGTCACAAACGACACTAAAAAGACGATCGGGGTCTGGCGACGCCAGTATTGGTGCATAGAGGAGGCTCTCTTTGACCCTGTCAAAAGTCCCGATGCTCGAGATCCTAACACCATTCCGCATCCTTCTTAAGGAGATCTGACAATGGCCGTGCCATTTCCGCATAATTCTTGCTGTACGTGTGCAAGTAGTTGGCGAGGTTAAGCCACTTGCGCAAGTCCTTTTGGTTCTTTAGAATCGACCAGTCTACTACGCCAAAAATGCAATTAGCATATAGCTTACTCGTGCGCATGCGCTCGAGCACCGCTTTCATATGGACGATATGGTTCTCTTCATCCATCCTTCCGTGCTATACACGACTGTGGACGAAGTTGTCGTCGAAGTATGTCTGTGCATACGCTCGGTGGAGCCTGAACAACTGCGCATCGATAGAGGCCCAAAAATGAGTCTTATCCTTTTTATAGACATCAAAGGTCGACGGAGGGTAGAGTCTTAACATTTTGAGGGAAGATCGGAGGGGAGGGTGTAAGAAGGTTTGTATTTGTGCTGCCAGACGGCAATTTTCTAGCAATTGATCATTTCTCGATCATCATTTTGAAAAATGATCAGGTGCTGGTGCAATTGACAGCCTTTGGGGCGTCACCAGCCACTCCCAGAGCATCTCACTCGGAGTACTCACCGCTAACAGAAGAATTTTTTATACGGAATTGGCTATACACATCGCCTAGGTCGAGTGCACTGTACTTTCTTCAGCCAATCATATGATTTTAATGATTTTGGAGGACCTCCTTACTAGAATTCGACGTCTGTGCCAAAAATGGTGTTAGCGTTGAGCTTATTGTAAGTGTAACCGATACGCCATTTGCCGTTCGGCTTCCGCACACAAAACGTGGGTGTCGAATGGAGAGACTTGCTCTCACGCATCATTCCTGCGTCGTGCTTCGCGCGGAAAAATGCGTCAATGCCGTCGCATTGCGCTTTGGGTAGGGGCCATTGACGTGATACGCAGTATTTGGTTCTCGGAACCAGGTCGATAAAGAGCCACCTGGCCATCCCCTGCAAGAGATAAGGCGACTAAGTCGCAGTGCGTAGTGACTCATGATCTATGTAGATCACATATAGCTCTGAGCCAAGCTGGTGCAATCTGAACAGGACAACTGCTTACTTCATCGCAAGTACTTTTATGTCGTAGATTGGATAGTTCTTCTCCGCAGTATTAAGCTGGCGAGATTCGAACGCGATCACGCGATCTTGCCCCTCGGCGTCTGCTTGCAGCAGTGCACAGCCGATAATAAAGTCCGAAGCGTCACAGACGACACTAAAAAGACGATCGGGGTCTGGCGACGCCAGTATTAGTACACGAAGTAGGCTGTCTTTGACCCTGTAAAAAGTGCCGATTCTCGGTGTCCCAACACCATTCCGTTTCCTTCTTGAAAATTCACGATGCAGTTGCCAGCTCCACCAGCGATTGCAGTACATTTGCTTCCGACCTAACGCCAAGTAAGCTTCACAAAATTTGCTGGTCGTGTTGCCTAAGAATCAGTCAATTAGATCTTTTACAGACGAAAGCTTTCTCGCTCATTAAATCGTAGCGTACCGCATCATAGTGCCTCAGTCTCACCATTCCACAGCGTGTCAGCAAACAAGCAACGCAAAAACCGCACATGTGAGAAATTATTAAGTTGTAATATTTAATTGCAATTGTTCAGATTTTCTAGATTACAACGAAATCCAATCACTTCTAATACACATGCATGCTCACCTCCTCACCAAGTTCGCCCGGTCTGTAGCTGCTACGGTAATTTTTTTTTACTCGATGATCTAATTTTTTGGTACTTTGCATGATCAAACTTACTGATGGTCGCATTATACACATCCGCATGTATGTCACGGACCAGCCCCAAACACGCTCACTCTCCGTGCTGAAGCATTTCAAGTCTCCGACGCAGCCTCTAACAGCAAGCGACATTTGGCGGTCTGTGGGTGGCGTCTGTTTTGATGTCGATAGCACTGTTTGCATGGATGAAGGCATTGACGTGCTCGCTGAACATTGCGGCGCTGGGCAGGCAGTGAAGGAGTGGACCTCTAAGTAAGCTAATGAAAAGCGCTTGATGTTATAGATCTCAATCAATTCATATGCAATAGGGCCATGAATGGAAATGTCAAGTTTGAAGACGCGCTTGCGGCTCGGTTGAATATCATACAGCCGTCGAGACAGGACATCCAGGATTGCTTAGAGCAGCACCCACCCATGTTCACACCGGGTATGTGTTATTTGTCCATTTTTCAAAAAAGATATCTTGAATAACTGGCAATGGACATCGTGTAGGCATAAGAAAGCTCGTTGCGACTTTGAAAAACAAAAAAATCGATGTGTTTCTCGTGTCGGGTGGCTTTCGTGTCATGATTGAGCCCATCGCTGAGGAATTGGATATTCCATTGTCTAACGTCTATGCCAATACAATATTTTTTGACAATGATGGAAATTACAATGGCTTTGATGACACGGAGCTCACGTCTCGTGACGGTGGAAAAGCGCAGGCTATTGACATGTACGCTGTTGTCTAGTAAACCTGTAAAAGTAATTGTCGTTGACAATGTTATTACATTAGCATCAAAAGAATCCATGGCTTTGAAAAGATTGCAATGGTTGGCGATGGAGTTACAGACCTCCAGGCACGCCCGCCGGCCGACCTGATTGTCGGCTTTGGAGGCATCGTCACACGTGAAATTGTGAAAAAGGAAGCAGATCTCTTTGTTACGGACTTCGATCACCTGACAAAGTTGCTGCATTTCTAAACGATCTGACCCGATAAAGGAAAATCATACCCAAGTGTTAACAGGTCGGTAAACATGGACTGGAGCAGAGAAGCAAGTGCTTATATTCGTCTACCATCTAGTCATGATCTATACATTAATCTTTCATCTCATTGTCGCCGTCTCCGACGCCGTCAGCATCACCCTTCTTTAAGTCACCCGGCGTTTTACGCAATGCTTTGACCCGACGGCTCTGCATCGAATAGATATCCTGGTGGTCGATGTGGACGCGGCCCAGCTTATCACCCGTGACCTTGTCACGAGTGATGTTTTTAATCTTTTTGGGCACCAAACCCTTCGGCTTCTTCGTGGCAACCTTCATTAAATCAGCTGAAGCGAACTTTGTGCGGCGAAAGTGTAAATCAAAACGCGGGCCCATTTCATCTAGTTCTACACGTGGATGAGTCTCGTCGCCCTTCTTAAAGTCGATTGAGTATGAGCGGAAAAAGACCTTTTCTTTCCACGCCGTGCACACGATGACGTGGTCCAGACCCTTCACGTTGACACTCTGCACGACAGTACCACGAAACGTATCGAGCAGGATGTTTTTAAGCTTCACGAATGCCTCAATACTCTCCCACTGGTCGCCTGTGAACACAAAACTGGGCTTGGAGCCGGGTGCTTTCTTACTCTTGCACTTGAAAGCACTGATAGGCTTAAAGTTCGCAAATTCAAACTCCAAAACGTCCAATATGTGTCCGTCAAAAGTGCGGCCGAAAACGAGATTATTCGGACGTTTTTTAGTGCTGCTACCGATAAGGAAGAGGCTGGCGTCATTCTTTTGAGTCAGGAACTCGACCTTGTTCTCGTCGTCAAACACATGAATATCATTTCTTTTGCCCATAAATTTCACAAATGGAGCTTTTATCATGCGCAAATCACGCAACAATTCGTTTACTTCCTCACTGGTCTTGTTGCCACGCATCACTAACAAGTTCTTGGTGTTCTCGACAAGTTTAGGCTCCTTAGCCTTTATAGCCCGTTGGACATGGCCCTTTAAGCGCTTGGGCTTGGCCACGCTTGTAATTTTGCGGCTTTGTTTCGATGCCTGCTTTGTAACCTTCTTGTTAGCTCGCAAGGCTTGCTTGCCTGCCGTATTCTTGACAATTTTACCGCCACCTGCCATTCCTAGTGCACTGGTTAAGGTTTTATGTGATTTGATTGGTTGGTGGCTCTGTTTTAAATATTCCAAATAACTTTTGCGAGCGAAAGAAATATAATGTTTTCTGCGCAATTGTCATTGGACAAGAATGCTGCTGCCTCATCATATCAAACGCACAGAAAATCCAGATAAAGCATAAGAAGGGAACGTGACTTAGTAGCCGCATGTTAAAAAGAAAGAATCTCAAATTATGAGAAAAACATCAAATAAGTCAGAACACAATTAATTTTAAAGAATTTAAAAAATATTCGAGATATCCCAGATATAAAAAGTATACCAAGTACATACATATACATGTTCAATGTCAACAACAGTATCACGAGCGCATAACAAGAAAGTGGCAAATGAAAACATCGCTATATCGTGTGGGGGTAACCCTAATAAATAATCGCTAACATGTAAACAACTTGCCAGACAACCATAAAGATTAAGATTCATCGTACATTAAATGTACGATGAATCTTAATCTTTCAGAAAAAAAATTTCTGTAATGACCCACATATTGCATACATCGCATCTATGAACCTGTTTCTTTTAAGCTAAGCAGTTGCCTGTTGTGAGGGAAAACAACTTTTCTTAGGTCTTCCACGCTTTTTCAAAATTTGAGGAGGCTTGCAATCACATGCTGACAAATAGTCTTTGATTGTAAGTGAGAGAATAGAGCCACTTGAATGTTCGCTATATGCTGCTGCAAATGTTGATGTCTTCCGTGTAGGGTGATAATATCTTCCAGTATCATGGAATTTATCACCATGTTTGAATGCCATGAACATGGAGCAGCGCTTGAGGCCTTTTTTTTATTATCTCGAGATGTATACATGTGTATACGTATACATAACTATACCCGAAATAGTACACAGTCAAGACAATCCTATGCATCTGAGTTGGAGGAAATCCACCATCGCGCCCGGGTCAGCAACACTTTTGCTTCGTGGTATAGCTGGCTGTATGAGTATTACACCCAAATTGGAAAAAACGTGTGCAGCACGTCACATCTCGAATACCAGTTATGGCTCGTGGCAATTCGGCCACGCAATTCTTAAAATGGGATCTCACCTAGAATTCAGGTCCAGGTTGAGACAATGTTACACACTGTCACTATGAGATTAAGCTTATCATATGATACTTAAAAAGCCTCCTTGTTGCGAAACGCAAAAACAGAGTGTCCTGATCAGGTACTGTCGAATATTTTGACAGTCACGCATCGTACGGAATTGTACGACACTCTTAAATCAATCCTTCGCTCACAAAGCTCGGGGTACTGACGGAAGTAACGAATAGTCTTGGTCTGTGGATTCCATCATTTATCTAAAGCCTCTTTCCTTTAAGAGTGTAGTCCGATTGACCACGACCTCCACGAGGTACAATAGAGCCCAGAACTTCATAATAAGAACTCGACTTTTCGGGACGGGCACTCTTTGGACGTCTTTGCATGGGGCCAACCCGCAAATTTTTCATTCGCGGGTAAGAGGGGTACACATGATGCAGAGAGTTTACTTTCAATGATGAATCATCATTTATAGCTTTTTTTACTTAACAGGGATAAACGCGACCGCCCGCTCATATCGGGATTTTACTTCCAGTACCCAATCCAACCTTTGTAGGACGAAAGCTTAACTCTGCAGCCAATGCAACACTCATGGGTGCCTAAAAAGAGGTAGGATGGCACCAGAAGATCTCGGTGTAAACCGCACTATTCGGAGATCCTCCATGAAAATGAAATCCGCTACCGCCTCCATAAGGTAGTCTGAAGCTATTTCGGAAATCAAAATGTCTATTACCTGGACAAATTATGCTAATTTTTGCCTGCACATTTCAATATGAAGCGGGGTTACACGTACCATTGTATGAAACGGCGGGTCGCACAAGATGGTGTGACCGTACATAGGTGTGGATTATACAAGTTGGTGTAAATACACAGTGCTGTGGTGGCAGGATTGCCAGTAGTAATGCATATTACTATATTAATTAGGTATTACTATATTAATTAGGAAAAAGAAGGGTTCAGATATTGGCGGCTCTACCGCAACTAAAACAATCAACAGTTTCAGCATTGAACGGAGGATACCACTTACCTTAGTTTCGTTTTTCAGTACTCTTGAAGGCAGCAGATTGCGATCCGCTGCACTTGTACTAGTTCTTATAAAGATGTAAGGTCGGTTAGCTTTGCTTTCGAAGCAAAGAGCCACGGCAGCCTCGCTGCACAATACGCCTAATCAAGTGTGCTAGAACCCGCATCATATGTCGTTTCAAATATTTCATTTTATTGATGCCTCTTTCAACGAGACACCGCACATTATTTCCTATTCCCGTACGCGGCCTCCTAGTTTGGAGGCCAAAAGCGCTACGCGCTGTTCCTTCTAATTAAGCATGGACTGTCATCTTAAATTTTGTCGTGCAGCAGAGCGATTTTTATGTCTTGGTCCTCATAAGCTCAATATCAGCGGCCTCGCTGTGAGTGCAATCTGCTCTTCTACTGGTGCCCGGTTGGAAAGCTCCTGACCGCCGCATTCCCAAAGCTTGCGTTTGCCTCCAAACTAGCAATAATCGTTTCTGACCCTCTGACTACCAGTTCTCTGACCCCATTGGGACCAACAAGAGACGTAAGTTTATAAAGCTGCTCGAGATGTCCTGGGGACAGGCTTGAACACTTCATGTCCCTTCGTTTTAGAGAATGCAGCTTTATCAAGATTAGGTGGTGGGTTCGACTGCGAATGCTACCGAGTGGAACGAGCTGCTGTGCCCCTCGCACGAAGGAAGATTGGACTTTACGAGTTTGCATCATCAATCGCTGGGGGATATAGGAGTAGAACAGAGTCTCTTCAGCTGGAGAATAATAAAGTCCAGCCTAACCTGATATAACATACTCCAGAAATCTACAGCTCTGCAAATATTGGCAGCTCCTTTTCGAACTCCATTCTTCTTACATACTGAATCATGCAAGTTTGAGCCTAGCTAATAAAAAGCAATGTGAGTCACTATCATTTGACGACTTTAAAGGCAGGTGTTGTGTTTGTAACATTAAAAGATAGAAACTGTCGAGATTTTTAGCGCACAGTGCTATTCAGCAATTACACCGAGTCGCCTAAATGTCCTTGATTATAAACCTGCTGCTGTCCAGGGTACTGATAAATATTATACGACTGCTGTTGTTGAGGCGGCTGACTGTGGTTGGTGTCATAGGCATCAAATGAAGCAGGTGATGTTGGCCCATTCCCATAAAACAAATGTTGCGAAAATCGTTGAGGCTGCTGCGCGACATCATGTGAAAAACTTGCGGACTGTTGTGGGGTGGTACTTGCCGGATAGTATCGCGTTGGGCTGCCGGCTAGTTCACGCACAAGCGCTTCATCGCTTGCATTTCGACCACCAGTGTCGTAAATTCGCATGTCATTCGACATTTTTTGTGCTAAAGCTGCATCTGCAATCTCGCGCTGACGCATTTCTTCGTCCATGGTTAGAGTTATCTCCAGTTCACGCCGTTCTAAAGTACGCGCAGAACAGTGATCTGCTACGGTTTGATGGAGGAGTGCAATCCGAGTTTTGAGTTCGGCGTAGAATTTTGCGCCTTCTTTGACGTGAGATTCAAGTTGCTCGAAAACGTCAACAGCATCGCTCAGACGCTGAAGAAAGGCTTGGCGCTCGCGCAGCAAATGATCCGATTCTTTTTTCGCCTCAAAGTTCGAGTTTGCAATAATCAATTCGTCGAGCAAATCCTGCTCTTCGTCACATAAAATGCTGATTTTGCCTGCAAAACGATCGATAAAGAATTGCTTTTCGTTTTCCAGTGCAATGTCAATGGTGACATCATTCGCTTTCTTCCCACTCAGCAACACTGACAGCAAATTAAGGTTTTCACAGGATTCTTTAAAATCATGCAGCACCCGGTCTTTCTCCTGTACAAGTTGCCCCAATTGCATCAGTAATGACGAAACTTTCGCAATTTCATCCTTAAAGCTCGAGCAATCTTGCTCCAATCTTGGCAGCTCATGGTACAAACTTTCTTTTGAGCTGGACAGCATCTCGAGTTTTTCCTGATTTGTAACCATTTTTTCTCGAACAATCGCATCCGATGTTTTGGCCTCTTTTAATAATCGATAATAGCGATCAATATCCAATCGAAAGTTTTGATTAAGCGATGACGACACCGGCCGCATCCATTTCTTTCCTCCATAATTCTGCCGACACATATTGTCTTCACCTTCTTCTTCATTTAAACGCAATTCAATTGATCGAAGATCTTGTTCAGCCTCGTCTGATAGCTGATTGTTTTTTTGTAAATATTGCTGGATAATCACTTCAACTTGATTTGTTTCTGCACTTTCAAGATCAAACGCAGCTGTGGCGGTAGTCACTTTCACGTACTGAACCCGCTGCCAAATTGTATGCATACCACTGTTGTCGGTTCTTTCAAACGCCTCGATAGAAGCAGGAAGTCCCATAGCGTGAAGCTTCTCCTTTGTGACTTCGTTACTCTTTAGCACTTTATCTGCCGTTTGGTCTAGAATAGTTTTAATCTCTTGCTTCACATCATCAGCACGAAGCAACAAATCTTTTGGTACAAATTGTTCAAAAAGATCCACACCGTCAAGCTCTTGCTGTAGTTCCTCTCCAGAAAATGCCAATGGTTTGACCATTGATGCTCTTCCTATTGCCGATAAATCAGAAAGTTTCGGAATATTTTCCAGATAAACACTGGCATTATCTTTTTCTGCAGCGGCAAGATGATCACGAATCTTATGCTGCAAAGACTGCGCGGAGTTTAGCAGTGCTGTTGGCAATTTATTCTCTGTTGCCAGCTTGCAAGCTACCGTGCACTCTGTATCTGCTGCAATAAGTCGCGCGATCTCTTCTCCGTATCCTTCGCCTCGATTCAACGCAACAGCTTTTGATGCCAACCCTTGCCAGTATTGCATAGCTGCACGCATGCAATGGACTTGAAATTGTAAATGCACGTCCCACGATTTGTCAATGACTCCTGCAAGTGCCGAAGAGCGACAAAACTCGAGTGCCGAGACGTAGTAGTCGAGTGCTTGGTGCACAAGTTTCGCCTTGATTCCATCCTTCATCTGATCTTTGATTGCTTTTTCATAAAAGCAAGCTTGAGCTTGTGCTAGCATCAAGAATGCGAGCAATCCTAATCCCTCTGTGCTCATGTCGGGCGTCCTAGTACCTATGGTTTGCTCCAAAATCTTGTCTTTCACCTCAGTGAAAGCCCCTGCGGCTTTCATAAAGTGGTGGCAAGCAGCCTTTAGTCCGTCGGCTGTGCTGCGGTCGGTCTGAAGACCTAACTGACTCTCTAAAGCACCCATATTGAACATTATTGCCGCTTTTTCAAACGATACACCTGTTTGCGTGCTCTTTCTCCGTGGACAAAATGAGTCGTTCCATGTAAATTGAAGTCTTAGCGTGTCACAACCAGAAGCCTCACTGTCGCACGGAAAGCGTTGAGCTATCTTATCGAGCTGTGCATAATAGCGCAGTAGCACGTGGCGAGAGATGGCTGAGGGCGTACGTACCAGATCTACATCCTTTTTGAGTTGTACAAAGTGATCAAGCGCGATTTCACAATTCTCCGCTAGCGAATTGTTTTGATCAAATGAATACTCGCGCCGCAAGAATGTGCTGATCGAATTACGTAGTGAGGCCACGGGTGTCTCGCTTAGCTTGAAGCCGATTCCCAGCATACTTATCAATATCTCTCGCCAACAACAATATTTGTTTTAATGTGGTAGACAGTGTAAAACAATTTTGTGGCAAATATATCGCACGACTTGATGCAAATGATTATTCACAGGTAACATTTTTTTGTCTGGTAAGGCGATAGGGGATTGAGAAAGAAGGTGGTACCTCTACATTAGCATCGTGCCATCCAACACAGACGAGTTGAGGTATCATATTCGTGACCTACGGCGAAGAGTGCCAAGCGAAACTCTTGGCGATGTCCAGCTCATCACTAATGAGCTGGACCTTGCTGAGAAGTCCATCTTGTCCGTCTGCAAGTCCGAGAGTCACGACAAACCTTGCAGATATCATAGTATCGAGATTATGATCTCAATTTATCTAAAGTTTCCTGCCGCGCTGATGCGGAGCCCTAACACGCCAATGCGTGCGAGCCTTCCGGTCACATGGAGAACCAATCGAGCTATAGGCAGTCGCTTCACGAATGTTTTGTCTATAGTTGGTCATAAAGGGGATATTAAAACTGAAGATCAAATGGGCGAAGACGGTAGTTGATCGCTTAAAGGCGTTCGCCAGCTGTAAGATACGCTGTCCAGACACCCCCAGGAGCGCTCCGATTGAGAGTCGGTGGGAGGACAGATTTTACTTACAGCAAGGCCATTCATAGTGGAAATTCACCTCTTTATTGGCAGGGACGAAGAAATTGGTCCCTCTGGTACAGAGAAAAAGAATTGGCCATGAATATATCCATGACCCAGACGGAGTAAGAGCAGGTCACGCTTGCAGCTTTCAGGCTGGAAAACGGCGCGCATAAATGGTCAAAACGTGCGGTTTGTTCATGAAAAAAGGTGTTAATAGCATGAGAAGACATTTTGTACAGGTGCTAGTACGCTTAATTCGGCGTATGGAATGCGCCCAAAGTTCTTGTCCATCTACCAAAGAATACGAGAGCTAATGAGCTATGTCGGGGGTCTTATATTGGTGCGATGGCGCCAGACCCTATCCCGTAGGCGGTAGCGATTGCCATTTTTCATGTTTTCATATGGGTGTAGCTAATGCTGAAACCTTCAACATACAGCTTTTCGTTTTTGAAGAAGCCGTGGGTGACTCATTGGATGCAGAGTCCATTTTTGACTTGTAAGGACCGGATGACGTTCCGAAGAGGCCCATCGCTTCATCATTCATCGTTCCAAAGTCACCAACCAGAACATATCATGATACTTCATGACGCTTGGCTTCAATCCGAGGAACATTGTGACGAAAGGTTATGTACACCCTAACACAATGTGTTCTCTGCAACTGTGTATTGCATGTGCCTTCAATTATCGGCACTCCTATGGTATTATCAAATTGGCTACAATAAAGTTTGAAACTACTGGTAGTAGCATCTGTGTCATAATTACTGATCAGAAGAAGAACCGTACATTGCCAGCACCAAAGAAATCTCGAACACATTTAGTGCCGTTTGTTACTGTCTTATCGCACCAAATGTACAAAAGAGAATTTGCCCTCGCCACCCAAAAGCACGTACGGATTTGCTCAACTACTTCTACAAATGAGACGAGAACACTGTTCGTATGTAGCTTTTCTTGCGTGACTTTTCGTACGTGGATTTTAATGTGGCTTTGCTCTCAAGGCATAACATTCCGAAAACGTGCATATGAAGACACAGAAGCGGCATTTAGTGAGCACATTGCCAAAACTATAGCTCGAAGGTAGAAGCTCTATGAGCGCGCCAGAGGTGATTGATCCCAGTCGTGCTAGAATAAATGTGGGGTACGATTAGCTCTCGGCACCTTTGCGGTACTCACTTATGTTTCATCTGTAAGAATACTAAACTCCGCGCCTTGTGTGTCATTTTCGCTCTTGGCTAACAAGTACAAAGGACGACGCTCTTTCACAAAGACAAACTAAGATTCCCTCGTAAGAAACGTTGATACGCAGTAGGCACAGAAATGGTGACTTAAAAAAATGGATTCTATCATTCCTCGTGGAGGTCGTAGTCGATTGAAAAAAAACTAAAGAGAACAAGAAACATTTCTCTAAGAGAGGTGGTGCTCGCAGACCTGGGTTGTCGATTCTCAACATAAACGTGTTGGGCTTTGTGAAGCCGAGGATAGTCCTGAAAGTTACAGAAGCGACGTTCAACTACGAACGATGCACGACCGTCAAAAGCACAGACAGTACGTGGGGGCATTGAATATGCACTATGTAAAATCTGTATCCATCCATCTCACGTTGGGAGGCTATCGAAATTCAGCTGAGCCGCAACGTGAAAATTGCGGACTATGACAGCGTAGAACATTGTAACTTCCTGGATTTGGACTCGAGGTACAACGTTTATCCTAGGCGTGACTTGAATACCATTGAACATGATAGACACGAAGCCAAAAAGTGAGGTGGAACGCTTTTTTCCTGGTAGAACTTTGGCGAGTCATGAATCCACTAGTTCCAAGACGCAGAAGAGCTTTGGAGCAGTTAAGATGCTACATTAGCTGTTGCATAGAATATCGGACTGTCTTAAAGGTCAATCGAATAGAAATTAGCGCCTGATCAAAGCTCGGAAGACAGAAGCGACAGCGAGCACGGTCTCAGGCGGTTACAATATAAAGCGCAAGTTACGTGCGGTCCCCGGAGTGCATCTTTGTTTAGATTCTGTAAGCCGTGGCCCTTACTGTTTATCTCTGCTGGGACGGAAAGCTCACAGCTATAATCTGGTGCATTGCGGTCAAATGCCGGCGGCGAGAAAAAGCGATGCGCTTTCGCTGAAAAGTCGCTGGTGTTAAAGATCGACTGTGAGTTGCAAGAAAAGGACCACTCTGAAGTAATTGCTGATGGGTCACGATGAAACGGTACTGCTAATTCGCCCTATTCTATGGAGATCATGCGGAGCAGTAGAACTTTCCAGGTGTGTGACAAGAGAGATTTTTCACTTCGTTTACGAGTGAATAATGTTCGGTTAGTCGTAGACGGAGTAACAGTTGTGATCCTCATAGTCGTAAATCGACTCTTGCTAATTCTGGCAAATGCTCTCGTTCATGTTTAAAAACAATCTCAAAGAGATACTTCTGGAAATTTCAAGACGGCGAAATAATCAAATTTGTACGTTTGGTATTGGAGGAGCTGAGCCCAACATCTGTCATGGATATATCCGTCCTTGATGACGTCCGTACATCACTGAGTGCGAGAAGCAGCGCAGCATTTCTTGTAGGTAGCGAGAAATTTTTAAATCTTTTGTGAAAAACATATCGCGGCGTGGTGACAAAAGCTTTACCGTATGTCCTCCGAATGAGAAAGTTTCATGAAGACAAATTTGTTCCCGAGATATAATATTGCGTTACATGCCTATGACTGCTATTAAGGAAAGGTGTAACGCCACGGACGCATTCTTCGGTGCGAAGAACAAAGTGTAGGTTTAGTAAGAAGTAATTCTATCGTTCATCGCCGAATAATCTGGCAGACAGGCTAACGTCAAGTGGCACTGGATAATAACCTTAATTGCTGCCGAATTTCAGCACAAACCCAATTTCTTTGAACGATCGGCTGCTTAAAAGCGTGGTTGGCTGCACTTTGTTTAGTGCCCTTAAATATATTTATAAGTAATGTTGACTGCTGGTGCTAGAGGGCAATAGCCCACTCGCTGCGATCAAATTTCGTGCGGAATGCTCTGAATGCGGCTTATTATGCTACAAGACATTCTAGCGCTCCAGTGACATTCATCGTCTGATAATGCAGCTGTGTGGGTCACATTGCTCGTATGCACAAATCGATTTCGCCAATACATCGAGAAGCCAGATGTTTAGAACCACATTTGACTTGCAAGCAGTGTTCGAGTTTTTGCAATTCTAATTCAAATTACTCCATTGAAAAGCATGGCACGCGAGCAAATCACGACCATTGTAGATTGGCCAGTATCTCTGTTCTAACGGAGCATATGGATGCGTCTTAGGCTAACCTACAGCTCGTACAGAAATAGTGCAAATTATGCGGACATGGTTCAGCCCATCCTAGAAAATCGAAACATGTCAAGTGGTGCTAGAGCGTGGCAGAAGGAGGGGTCTTTGAGAGTGTCAGTAGAAAGTCTCATGTTCCCTTGATTCCGGGTCTTCCCTATTAAGTTCAACCCTTTCATGTTGTTTAATGCTGAAGCTCGAACGCTTCGTTAATGAGGAAGGGACAGTAGTAATTTGCCAGCATCATCATACTATCAATTCCGGGACGGCTGATACAATCCTTTAAGATGATTATCATTCGATTGACCTTCGCATTTTAAATATATGTTGCAGCAGAAGTTGTAAGGGGACAAGCGTAACAAAAACAATCTTTGAATAAATTACCGCGCTTCTCGGAACTGCAGCATGTCCGTTCTCTTATTTGTTGCTTGCGCACAGTTAGCGACTGGAATATTTCTACTTGACAAAAGTCTTTCTCGCGCAGAGTGGGAGATTTACTTTTTTTCACCGATCCCACGTACACGGCTTATTTGTCACATTGTTCAACCTCAAAAATTCCCTAACGTGTGACACAATAGTCTATTGCGTGGTGGGTCTCTCGTCATTAAGTCGTGGTGTTCATTTGTTAAAGGAACCATAAGATTTAGATCTGAGTGGATAGCCGTCCGGCTCCAAAAACTAAGCGCTTTGCAAATGTACCCAGGTACAGACTCATCTATTGTGATCGATGGGGCCATGGATACTAAACGTACCGATGTGTTTACTTCACCGCCGTGCAATCGTTTGTAAGAAACGTCTAGTAATTTATCTTCAAGTTCAAGAACTTTAACGTCCGAATTATCAGAGAGACTTACATCATTAGTATTACCCCGTTCACTCCATTTTTTGAGTTGTTAGTGTTACTCGTGGTAGGCTGACAAACCCTAGCGAAGACCACCGAGCCCCTATACGCACAGAACGCCTGCCTGCGGGACAAAAGCGAGTCTAAAATCCTCATAGGGGCCAAGACCGCTGGGAAATTGCACTAACAAGGCGGCTCTATCTGTAGAGGCGTAGCTCACAATTGGATTTACAACATTAAGAAAAGTGCGACTAGTTTGAGGAACATCGTTCATTTACGTACCAAATGTCAAAAATAGTTGAGATTGCGCAGAGGTTTGAAGATGCCGAAAAAGAATACTATACCTATGTAGTTTGCAACGGAAACTGCAGTTAAATGCGAAGGCACTTTTTACGAACTAAAAAGACTTTGACAGCGTATAGATTTTGACAGTATCATCTTCATTCAACCGTAAATCTAGATTCGGGACTCGATCCCCTCATAGGTATTGCAGCGGGGCTGCCGTAGCTTTGCGCTTAGAGGAAGCGTAATTTAGGCCACCGACATTTCGAATTTCACAAGAACCAGTACGAGTGGAGCGGATCGCAATCCGCTACCTCCAAGAGTAGTTAGAACCTTATCTCAAGGCTAATAAAATCTTCTGTTTAAAATGTAAACTCAAATATGAATAGTAACATCTAAATACATGTATAACTACTGGCTACTCAGCCACATACCGTATCCTTATTTGGGTGCAGTCACACCATGCCCATCTCATGTGACACACACCCCTGTTACCGGGGTACGTGTGACCCTGTTACACTCTCCCCCATTAAGATTTAAAACATTTACAGTTCCAATCAATTATTGCCTCAACGAGGCTTGCGTATCCGCTGTACATTGCAACTTGGTTCGTTGGAACAAAACGACTTTCGTGCACAATGAGCCCTGTGTCAACGACACTGAAGTAACCACGTCTCGCTGGTTCCGACAGCGCACACTGGCAGAGCCCAACATCACCCCCCGCACGCGGTGCAATGTCAGACAGTGAGTCCGCGGCATCGAGGGATGTAAATCCTAGGCTCGATAAGAACGAGCGACACGCTCCGCGCACGCTATCAGTGACGAGTCACCTCGTTGAGGATGTGGAGGTGGTCGACTACGACTCTGACTCTCCTCATCCCGGGTGTGATGACGAGGAAGGCGAGCCGCGCCAGCGGCGTGAGATGAGCCCTGCTCGCGCCTTGCGGACACCATGTCCGTTTTCTGACTTCTTGTCACCTGAAGGACGTGGTGTCATCACCAATAACCTCGATGAGGCACAGAAGCGGCAG